TCTGCGCAAACTACTCTTACAACTTTTAATGAAATTTTGGCAGACCTGGATGATATAGCTGGGCAAATCTGTAATTTTCCAAATTAGAAAGACAGTGTCAGACAGAGCCAGTACCGAAAACACGTTATTTACACAGTACAGAGGCAATATTTGTTATAAATTAGTAGAAAACTGGTCAGATTTATCAGATTCAGAGCGAAATATTCACCTAAATATAAATCATTTCTTTTGCGGTCTTCATCTACTAACTGGTTTGGCCGATAAAAGTGTGTCTGAATTGAAGAAATTTGAGGAAATGTATTTTAAAAAGTATTCGGCCCAAACGTTTAAAACCGCTTCGTCATTTCTGCCAAACGAACCTGGGTGTTTTCGATTGATTTGGACCATCTGTAAAGCCTTTACACAGGGTGGGGATGAAAAGTCGGGTTGTTATTTACCTTTTCAGTTGTATCTCAAGTCCCTTGGGATTTTAAAATTACCGCTAACGCCATTTCATGGTAACCGGTTTAATATAATTTTCCACAATGCCGCAATTGTAAATTATATGGCCAAGCATATAACAAATTTTCTTAGTGATTTTGGAACAGAAAATAGATTGACCCAAAGCATATTTTTAGATATTAAAATTCCGTTATTTCATATTGAGTGCCAGGCTTTGGGCTTGATAGATAAATTAATTACAGCTCCACTGTGGCACATCTTAGAAAGCGGCATTAATGCACTTGACATGAAAACTATTTATTAGAAATTACATGATTTTTTCGAAAACCCGAATATTTGAAAATTGAAAACGATTCGGTCCTTGCTAACCTGACGAAATTTAATTCTGATTTAACTTTTAATTCAACCCTGATCCATGTTTTGGAAGTCCTCTTTGCCGAGTTGCAAAAATTTTACTTGAGTATCGAGATGACTTTAATCCTTCGTGTTCGAGTTCTGCCATGCCTCAAAACAAATTACCAGAAACCGTGTTCAGTCATCTCGATAGATTAATGAGGATCACGCCCTCGTCTAATATTTTTGGCAACTAAGCGTCCATTTTATATAAAATGAATAAATCTGATGAATGGCTAAAAATCTTTCACCTGATAACGTAATTTGGTCTTAAAGGATGCTCGAACGATAACTAAAAATCAACTTTCTAAATTTAGGCAAAGACGGGAAGAAATCGAAAGAAAAAAGCTAGCGGTTCTTTTTGCGAAAAAGAATGAATTAATAGAAAAGGGGAACGTGAGATTAGGAAAAAAGAGCGCCTAACAACAGAAATTGTCGGGGTGGTTCTTTGGAAAAATAAAGAGGGTATGGAAAATGGACTTTTACAATTTACAGATAGGGAAATGAAAGAGGCACTGAAGGCACAGCTCTGGTTTCGTAGGTATGTTTTAAATCAGCAAGTTTCCAATAAGTCTATATTTTGTTTTTCTGTGGCCGGTAAGGAACACTCGATTCCAGTTTTAAAAGAAAATTTACAAAAATTAATTGACCTGGCTGATCCTACCTAACCAGATTAAATTTTCAATGCCCCTTTTTAGCGGTTATAAAAAATACAATTTCTTTATTCTTCGTTTCTAATTTATTTGTCAATCCAGACGTCCCAGCAGACCGACATTCCGACACTTCTCATAGTATTTTAACAAATCATTATTTAAATAACTGTTTTCTTTAAACCAATCGGTTAATTTTCGGGTGGCAATTTATTTTACAAAGTACGCCTACTACTGTACATTAGCTTTGTTATCGTGTTTGAAAAGTTGCCTTTGACATACTCTATGTAAAAGTAAACTTTTTATTTTGTCCCAAGGGGAACAATTGAGAATATATGTTTATTACAGATTAGTTCTAAATTACATATCTGTGTTTGGTAAATAATGACTATGTATTATTTATTATCAATCGGTTTGTGAAATGTTGCAACAGATCGTGTTTTTGGCTAAGATTTGAGTTATGCATGGTTTGATAAAGTGAATACACCTGCGCTGATTACCTTAGTTTTTAACCTATTTATCTTTGGGAAAACCTGTATTTCTGTCGTATAATAGCTGACATGATAATATTGACTTTTTTATAAAAAAAAACATCTGCCAAGACAGATGTTATACTGTACATATGTATTAGACGACATACTGTTACGAAAGAAGATCTAACATACAGGCATGTTGATTTAGAAGGCATTGGTCACGATGAGATGTGTTTTTGTTAATGTTATCGATCGCTTTCAGTCCCTATATAAAGTTATAGGAAATACATATTAATATAAGCAGCATATTTATTCTTGTGTAAATGTTATCATACAAGAAGGATCGTGATCCCGAAATTGAATTTGTTCTTAATTATGTATCTTCTAGTTTGTATTCACTTACTCAAACCCAACTTCAAAATGTCAATGTCCATCTCAAATCTGTACATAACTTGATCAGCTATTGCATATTTTTCATTTAGATTGATTAAAATAGTCTGTCATTATTTATTTAATACTCTAATTATTCCATGAAACTTTTCATCAATAAACATACTTCCGAACATTATTTCTTAAATGGGACATCAAATATAAATTTACAAAAGCATATTAACATAAATACCAATATAAATAGACCTATGGGTATACAGAAAATATAAATAGATTGTTCTAATATATCTACAAAAACGTAAATACATTTAAATTGGACTGCACACATACGTACACGGGAATGGCTGATCCAAAAACTGAGCTGTGTTGCGCATGCTCGGAGATCTGAAATTCAAGCGTCTCATGGAGCAGATTTCGTCACATAGCAAATGACAATTTAAACGAATAGTCCGGAATGGTAGTGGTTGTTCATGCATTTCGGAAAAGAAATCTATAATTTTAAATGAACAAGAAAACATAACTCCGTTAACATTGAAACGGAGGCAGACCACCATTAATTTCCCCATTGACTTCAATGTTAATTGTGGCCTCTTTGCCCACCTCCAACTTTTCCCCAAATTTTCGTTGGGCTGAATGCTTTTCACAACAGACAGAGGAACAAATGGTCATGTCTTTGCACTAAAATTTGTATGAGGTTGACCACCAAAATTTTGAGATACACAAACTTGAAGAAGCATACTAAAAACATGTAACTAGTTGACGTACGTATCGCCGTCGCCAACCTGATAACCCTGTTATCATTCCGCCTCAAAATCATGAATATTTACCAAAACCTGGCAGAAAATGTTTATTCGAACCCTCTTCGTCCATTCTAGACCAAAAAATCAACAAAAATGGGCATGCAAAAGGGGAGAAAAGAGAGAATTGCTATAAATAGACGAACATAGTGAAATTTAATGGTATTCTGCCTCCAAACCCCAAAATGAATATGTTCGCCGCTGGTGCACAAAAGTAGTGTATTTTAACGTACAGTCGAATGGATATATTGTGAAATATACACGCAGGTAGTTTCTTGACAGTTTATAATAAAGGATCATCTAGGGTTGTTGTTTATTAAGATGGAGTGTCATAAATAGTTTTCGCGATTTTTTTTAGCTTGGGGCACCCTAGTTATGGGTCACCAATTTGCCAAATTGGTTTTGTCCTTATTGGGTTTAGGTAATAGTTTAATTAATGACTCTCTTTGAGAGGTAGATAGTTTATTGTTTTCGAAACTGTATTTAAAAGATGCTAAGACATATTTATTTATATTTGGCCAGAATGCTTCGTAGAACTCAATACTTAGACCGTCATTTCCTGGAGATTTATTCTTTTTAATACATGATATTGCGTTTTTACATTCGTCATTACTTATGTCATATTCTAATGTTTCTGCCTGGTCAATATCTAGTTTTGGAAGATATTCGTAGTCAAATGTATCATAATTGTTTATGTTAGATGATTTACATTTCTCAATATAGATTTTCATAAAAAGACCGAACTTCATTTAAAATGCATTGTCTGTCTGTAACTGATGTCCAACCTCGTGGGTTTTCTCCGGGTCCTCCGGTTTCCTCCCACTGCTAAAGACCCTTACGCGCAAGCGAATTATTGAAATAAAATTAAACCATATTTTAGTCCCGAAATGACCTAGTTTGTGTCGAGTGGACTTTAAACCACATACCAGCTCTTTGCTCTCTCTCTCTCTCTCTGATGTATTTCCGTTTATAATTAATCTATTAATAGTTGTTTTTTTGACTCCTTCGTTTTTCTAAATTTAGAAAGTGTTTTGTATTTTTTTTCGCCAAAACCGTAACAATTTATTTTAGTTCTTAATTGAATACCTTCTACTTCATGAAAATGAAATGTAATAGGTTTAACGTCCTACTGTTCTGTTCCAAACTGGGCTAATGAAGACGGGCATATGCCATACAGTGTGCTATGAGGGAAATTTTGCCCGGACAGTGGCACTACGGCCTTCTCTTATATCGAACTCCAACTGTCAAGGGATCTTTAACGTGCACGTCAATGTGTACACGGGACCTCTGTTTTTCGTCCCATCCGAACGATTAGACAGCTGTCCTTGTCAGACCCTCCATCCTGCATCACTGACAAGGGAGAACCACGTCGGAAAATCTTGATGAACTTTCTCGGCCAATGCAGGGATCGAACACCCGACCTCCAGGCTAGCGAGCCAGCGTCTTACCCACTTAGCCATCGTGATCCCCTCTACTTCATGAGTCAATATATTGTTAAGATTGTTTTTCACATTATTACATGTATATTCGTTATAGATATCCAAGCAATTTGAGTTATTATTCAATTTTTTGCTTCTTGAAGCAACAAGCCGTGTTTGTTTAGTCAATACCGTCTTCATTAGCCCAGCCGGTGTAAATCCCATTTCATTTCATGTTTGGGTATTCAGCTATATCGCCGTGTGTGTCCTTGGACCTAAGGTCCATTATGTGTGCAGGGAGCAGTGCCAGAATAAGGCTCCGCTGGCCCAAAGGCACATGTCGATAGGTGTCCTGAAAATACAGATATTTTGGGTTAACAGATAAAAGGAAGACCGTTAAATGAATAGCCTTCAATGGATGAAGAACGATGCCATTTATTAACATAAAAATAAAGGGAAGCATATTGGTCATCACCTGATAATTATCAAAAAGTGTTTACTATATTTTTTTGTGGCTTGGATTTTTGGCTGGGCCTATGACACGTGCCTTATTTGCCTAATGGTTAATCCGGCATTCAGTGCCAGTACAAGTTTCAGTGATTGTCAGTCACTGCTATATCTTGGCAGAAATGGAGAAAATATAGTTACGGTTGGTTTCCATTCGATTTTTTAACATATTTGCGGACATTTGTGACAAATATTTTGGAGCAGATACGAGGAACGTTGTTGGTGAGCGTATTAGGGAGCCTATAACGGAGCCCCGTCGGCGTTTCAGAGAGTTATTGGATCTGATATATTGCCACCTTGTATTCCCTTTCCATCAAACTTGAGGGGCTTGGACTGTCGAATAGTTAACGCGTGCGTGTTAGATTATAAGGTCAGTCATTGGGTAAAGTGGCTTGGTTTGGTTTTTCTCCGGACGCCCGGTTTTCCCCCACAGCTAAAGACCCCTATGCGCAAACGCATAATTGAAATAAAATTGAACCATTAGTCCCGAAATGACCTAGTTTGTGTTGTGTAAACGGTAAACTCTCTCTCTCTCTCCCTCTCTCACACACACTGAGCCAACGTCATCCTGTGCCGACGTCATACTAGGCCAACATGGCTCCCAGAGAACGGCGATCATATCTTTCTAGGGCAAAAATTCGACTTCTAAAGTATGTACTATTTTTTAATTAGAAGATTGCTACAAAAGCGAATAAAGAAATATGCATAAAGCTGGTTGATACAGAAAATAATTGTTGAAAAATCTGTGTTTTTATCGGCCAGAAAAAAGAAAGGAGACGATGATAAAACTTGTTAGATGTTATTTAAAATTGAGACCCATAAAATATGGAACATAAAACGAAAAACGAGATAAAAAAAACATCTGATTAATTAAATTGTAAAACCATCGAAGAGCGGACAATCTACTCTTTCAATCAAGGAACGCCCCGTTATGCAATAACAAGTCTACACGATGGTTAAATTAAGTACACCTATTAAAGGAGCTAAATCTCTAACTTGGTATTTTCAATGATATTCGAAATTAAAAACACGAATTGAAATTCAATATCAGTCTATTTCAGTCAATATTCAAGATGTTATCTTGCAGTGAAAATGTGGGATCCTAATATCCAATATTTAAGACACAATGAAAATTTTTATAATCAGTACACGGATCGTGTATTCTGTAATTTTGGGTGCCATTTGTAATGAGCAAAGAAAAACATATCCTACAAGACAATGTCGAAGTAATTATTAATGGCTGCTTGACAAACGACAAAATGATATTAAAAAACGTGTAGAATGGGCTTGGTAGACGTAAAAGGTGTCCGTTTAATTTGGACTGCTCGCGTATTTCACCGAACATAATTGTTTAGAAATTAGAATATTTTTATAACCAGCGGCTGCCAGGAAGGATACGCCCACATTTTCGAGAGATGGATAGAGAACAAGCTAACAAGAAAGTGATTTTTCCTACAATCAAGGGCCATAATTCAGGAAATTACAATTCGATATGCGCGAATATCGAAAGGAACTGAGATCTTTGGTTATAAACTTACATTTCAAGTTTCAACAAAATCGGATGAAAATTGTGACCTCTATAGGGTCCAAACCCTTGATATACCATATTTTTACGCTATTTGAGAACGAACGGCGGCCATTTTGTCTGTCAATTTTTGGTCGATTTCTACGAAATTCGAACTCAGTCGTCCTTATGGTGTAACGGTGATATAATAATACGGTTTTTTAAATCGGATAAAAATTATGACCTCTATAGGGTCCACAATCAGGGGCCATAATTCAGGAAGTTACGTTCCAATATACGCGAATATCGAAAGGAACCGAGATCTTTGGGTTATAAACTAACATTTCAAGTTTCAACAAAACCGGCTAAAAATTGTGACCTCTATAGGGTTCACAACCTTGATATACCATATTTTTACGCTATTTGAGAACGAACGGCGGCCATTTTGTCTGTCAATTTTGGGCCGATTTTCACGAAATTCGAACTCAGTCGTCCTTAGGGTGTAACGGTGATATAATAATACGTTTTTTTTTAAATCGGATTAAACTTATGACCTCTATAGGGTCCACAAGCTAAAAACGCGATTTTTCGTACAATCAGGGGCCATAATTCAGGAAGTTATGGTCCGATATGCGCGAATATCGAGAGGAATCGAGATCTTTGGGTTATAAACTTACATTTAAAGTTTCAACAAAATCGGATAAAAATTGTGACCTCTATAGTCCACAAGCTAAAAACGTGATTTTTCGTACAAACAGAGGCCATAATCCATGAAGTTTCGATCCGATACATGCCAATATCGAAAGCAGCCGAGATCTTTTGGAGATAAACCTATATTTCAAGTTTCGTCAAAATCGGATAAGAATTGTGACCTGTAGAGTGTCCACAAACAATTGTGGACGGACGGACGGACAGGGGCGACGACAATATACGTCCACATGAAAATGTGGTCGTATAAATTTTTTTTTAATATAAATCACTTTATATACATTCATATTACATTAATATATGCTGTTAGGCCGTATTTCGTATATTTTAAGGTTCAAAAGATTAGAGCCATATTAAAAGAAAATAAGTTTACAAGTTTTATTAAATAAAACAAAAAAAAACATGAGAAGCGATCTTACAATGTATGTAAATTACCATAAATTGATTTGTAAAGATACATTTTATAAGATTTAGATATAGAGCTGACAGATAATGAAAAGGAATATCTTGAAAATTCCATTCAAATTATTATGGGCGAAGTTATTAATGTTGAAAGTTTTCATAAGGATAGCGTATATATAAACTCGACCGATGTTACGATAACTAAGTCTCGCTAATCCATTTCTAAATTAAATTGTTAAATAGCGATCGTGTTTCCTTCCATTAAATATTACGACCATCCGAGAGTTGATTATGGGTTTGCTATGTTAATAACCAAATAATGAAACGAAGCGTTTCCATCCGCTGACAAAGAAATTTTTTATTTTGTTCAAAACCCCATCATTGTTTTCAAGCTCCTGTCGGAGGCGCTCACGCGAATCTTTCATTTCTTCCCATTTTTTCTCTTCTTCTTTAAGGATTCGTTCTTGTTCTTGTCGCCGCTCTTCAAATTCCCTTAATCTCTCTTGCCGCTCTTCTTCCAATTGTGCTCTTTCTTCTTCTTCCAATCGTTTCTTCTCTTCTACCTCCTCTTGTTCAATACGCCTTCTTTCTTCCTCTTTGCGTAACCTTTCTTGCTCTTGTGCCATTTCTCGTCGCTTTTGTTCAGATCGGCGTCTTTCGGCTTCTTTTTCTTCTTCCAATTTCTCCTTTTCTTGGAGTAGAATGTCCTGCTGGAGTTTTGCCTTCCTATCGTCTTCAATGCGTAACTGATGGAGTCGCTCTGCTTCAGTCACAAGCTCACGTTGCTTTTTCTCGTGGTCTTCTCTGGCCTTCCTTTCCCTCTCTTTCTGCTCCTTTTCCAGTTGTGCACGCTTCATTTTCATTTCTTTCTCAAGTCGTTGTTTTTGTGCCTTATTTTCCTCCTCGATTTCTTGTTTTCGTCTTTCGAGTGCAAGCTTTTCTTTATTTTTTTCAGCTTCTAGCTGTTCTAATCGTTCTTTGAGGGCCTTTTCCGCGACGGCGTACATTTCTCCTGTGTAATGATTACCGCCGTTGACTGCAATCGTACATTGAACCAAATCCATTATAGCGTCAACATCCATGCTGAGATGCTTCTTGTCAGCCCAATTATTTATTGCTTTACAACGACCTTTACACTCAATCAACAGCGTTTGTAAGTTTTCGTCGCTACCTATATACTCGTCTAATGTGTTATCGGAGTGTTCGAGGGTGTCTTTGCCGGTAAAAATAACAATCACAAATTTCATCACCTGCTCTCCAAAGATATTTTTAAGATTTACGATGGTGTCCCGTTCTTCTTGTGTATATCTACCAATCCTCAAGACAAAGAAAAAGATGTGGGGACCCGGAGACGACAAACCAAAGCAGCGAACTATCTCCATGGATGTATCTTTGTTCGATTTTCTTGTATCGAAAATTCCAGGTGTGTCTACTACAACCAGTTTCATTCCGTGCGAAAGCTTCCGAGTTCCAAATTTACATTTAGATGTAACTGATCCAGCAAAACCCTGAGATTTAAAATGCTTTTGCCCCAATAAACTATTACCAAGCTCACTTTTGCCCACACCAGTCTTACCAACCATTACAATTCTCATTTCTGCAATAAAGAATAAAGTAACATCGATGCTAAACGACAATTAAATTCAATTAGCTTTATACCCCCTTTACAATTGCACACGATTTCAAAGTCGAATGCGATAATCTTGGATACCATCCTAATGTCTCATATGAATTATACAAGGGAGGTCTCGGGTTCGCAACTGATGTTCGCCGAGAGACTTAACTTGGATTTTCCGGCGTGGAGAAGTTAACAAAAATCGAGGCCGCGTGTACAGATTGACGAGCACGAAAAAATTCCTTGGTAGTTAGAATTCAAAACAAAACTATGCCGTAGTGCCACTGTCCGGGAAAATGTCCCCATAGCTCTCTGTATGGCGTTTGTCCTTCATTAGCCCAGTTGAAGCAGAACATTAGGACGTTAAACCCCATTTCATTTCATTTCGTAAACTACACCCCTGACAGGTAAGTCAGGATATCCGGCCACGATAAGTTTAAAGCTCAGCAGGTAATAACTTCTTATGATTCTTTCCTAAACTAACAGCCGTAAATAGATTGTTCAGCTAGTCAGAAGTCGATACCCTATTTGGTCTATTGATTAAACTACGGGTTAAAGCTTTTCTTTTCAAACCAGCTGGTAGATTTGCATAAGCCATAACGAGGAATAAACCTTGTCCAGGTCTTAAGTATGGAAGACCAAACAGCTCTTATACAAATTATAATTTTAGTGTATAAATGTCGAAATACGCCGACAAATAACGAATTAAGAACACAAAATAAAGAGTTGTTTGATCTTTCATGCTTAAGTCGGGTGAGTTCTTCACTATAGTACTCGACTGATATCAGTTATAATTTTGATATGACAAAAATATACAGTTTATAATATATATATAGTCAGTTATTCTATTAACAATTTTTCAATTGATCCGAATTCTATTTGTGGTATGACAAAAAAGATTCAACGGTTGCCATGCAAGATACGCCTACATTTTGCAAGTAATGGGCAATAAAATAAGATTTAAAAAAAGCAATTTTTCATACAACCCGGGGTCGATTCGCGCAAGTATTGAAAGAAACCGACTCTTTGGGATAGAAACATATATTTTAAGCTTAATTAAAATCGGATAGGAATTATGACCTCTAGAGGGTCCACAACCTTGGTATAGGGTCATTCCATGTCAAGTGGGTCAATTTTCAGAAATTTGGGAAATCGATCCCCCTCGAAAAAATCCGGAAAAATATATGTTATTGTCGATGTCAAAACTAGAAACTGTGCAAAATTTATAGTCTGTAGCTTGAATTTTGACCGCGATACGGGCATATGAGTTTCAAGAGTTACGGATAAGTTTTCGAAACAAAACATGTATCAATAATTTACTCGAGCTTCAAATATCTTATTTTTACTTTTCTAGTGTAAATATACAGCTCAACTTTGGTAGTATTAGAGAATCTTTTGTGTAGATAACAGATCTGCAATCATGAAATGCACAGTTTCTAGTTTTTACATGTACAATAACATATTTTTTCCAGATTTTTTCGACAGGCTCGATTTCCCACCCCTGGCCCACTTGACATGGAATAACATACTTATACATTATTTTCGATCTACCGCCTCTTCGTGTCGCCTGTCCAACCCCTTGGGTTTTCTCTTTGTCCCCTGGCTTCCTTCTACAGCCAAAGACCGCTACATGCAAGCGGATTCTTGAAATAATTTTTTTAGTCCATACAGTGTGCTATGAGGGAAATTTTGCCCGGGCAGTGGCACTATCGCCTACTCTTATATCGAATTCCAACTGCCAGGGGATCTTTTACGTGCATTCAAAATTAAACACGGGACCTCGGTTTTTCGTCTCATCCAAAGGACTAGACAGCTGTCCTTGTCAGACCCTCCGTTCTGCCCCACTGACAAGAGGAAACCACGTCGGAAAATCTCGATGAACTTTCTCGGCCAATGCAGGGATCGAACAACCTACCTCCAGGCTAGAGAGCCAGCGTCTTAACCACCTAGCCACCGTGGTTCCCCGGAAGAGAACAGTAGGATACTAAACCTCATATTCTCCTTTTGTATGAATGTAGGCGAATTATACAACTTGTAACCAAAGCGTTGCCAGCTTAAAGATATAAGCCCACTAGCAGCTTTCTGAAAGTTCGTGGGGTCACAAAGTGTTGAATACGTCCTGAACGCTGTTTTATCACAACTGCAGCTTATCATAAAGGAAAATTTAGATGTTGAACAAATTTGATATTAAGGATCTAGGTTCCTTGAATAAATATAATCTCTAGGGTTCATCCTCTTATGACCCCATTGCTTCCACCAGGATAACTCAGGTACGGACGGCTGCGGATTGTGAATATCGACGAACCCCCAAATATGAAAAAAAATCTATTAAAAATATCGATAGGGTTCATCCTCGCATGGCAGTAATATTTAAGACCGGAAAATAACCGAAACAAAATTTTTATTTGTAGTCTTTATTTTCCAGACTTTTTCGGTAACTTGTAAATTATTTTTAGAGTATCTTATTTAATTATTTTGTGGCCTTAAGCGTTGATGGACGGACTTTTTCTAGATCTGATACTGAGCCCTGCAAGATGGCGTCCGGATGATTTGGTAACAAGCATTGGATTGGACAAGTACCCTTATGATTTGAGCACTGTAACCAAACTACATATGGCACTAATCACAAATAGGCCTATACCAGGCATTGTTAATCAATTCTCGACAACTACTGCTTTACATGACGACTGTGTGATCTTTGGTGACAAAGACATTCAAATTAGACTGGTCAGACTGAAGACAAAGACTAGGAAATTGGGTAAAAGTAAGGCTAAGTCCAATAAATCTACAAGATCATGCGACGATTTTCTTGACACCCCATTTTCCCCCGGGATAGCGGACGATACATCATCGGCAGATACTAGTAAAATTAATTTCATAAATAAAGAGGAATGGGCATCTGCCGATTCGACATTGACTGATTTATGTAGGAAAAATAGGTATTTGCGGCGATTGTCAAAGTGTCATAAAAGAACAATCGCCCAATTAAAAGATCGACTTAGAAAAGACTAGAAAAGAAATGATTCGCATATAGGCTAATAATGAAAATAAAAAAAAAACAATTGGCAGGTAAAAAAAATAGTTGCAAGTCCAAACCTTTTAAGAAAAACGAAGTATTTTTGTAGGATTTGGAAAATCAAAGATACACCCCCAGAATGCTAAATTTGGTAATGGAACTTAAAAATCTTAACGTTTCGAATGATAACGTAGCAGCGGTTGTAACCGCATGTTTGGCTGTCGCGGGACTAAAATCTAATTACATTCCATTAAAATCTACAGTTTAAAGAATACCATGTCAGCCCGTCGATGTATCCTTATAACATGTTTCGGAAACCTTAGTCAGCGAAAAATGCCATACAAAATTTGGTTCCAATTGACTGGACACATACCCCACTTATTCTTGGTCTTCGTGAAATGGCTGATAAATCTGCACAAACTACATTAAACATTAACCGAAATTTTGGCAGATCTCGACGAAATTGCTGGACCAATTAGTAAAACCGTTATTTCCGAAATTAAAAATACCATGTCAGACAGAGCCTGCATCGAAAACCTTTAACAATTAATGTCTTAATTAATAATTTAGAAAACATTTCATGCCTAAAGAAAGACCTGCAATAGACAGATTTAGCTCTTGCATAATGCATGTTTAAGAATATCATCTGTTATATTCACGAAATAGAGATATTCGCCAACCTACATCACATAGACTCCAATCGACCTCGTTGTCCAGTCAGTCTTTTTCTTATGTTTGAAATATTTTGGAGTATTCTTTCAATTAATTTTCACAAAATAATGATATTTCTCCAAGAAATAATGAAAGTCATCGCCATATATGTCACATACAGAATCCAATCGGCCTATAGCCGTGCAGTGAGTCTTTTTCTTATATATAGAATCTAATCAGCTTCGCTGTGCAGTGAGTCCCTTTTTTAATGTTTGAAAGCTATTGGGGTATTTTTTGTCCACAGGCGCTTGAATGGATTTAAATTTCTCATATTATCTTGTCTGGCATACTACAATATATACAAATTAAGTATATCACGCGCCATATTGGTTTGACTCGATGAGGACATTTCTTCTCCGATTATCTCACAATACTCACTATATGTAACACTCTCTTTTCGTTTTATTGCAGACTAGATTTAATCTTATTTTTATACAACCCCCAATGTCACTGAATTGATCATTTTATAGCGTTGTTATTTACAAAACTTTCCTCGGGCAATTGTTAAGAAATAAGGTTTGAAATAGATAGCTTAACTTCTAATTTTGTGTGTGTGTGTGGGGGGGGGGGGGGTTACCGTATAATAAGTTTCAAAGATCGAAAAGTTTTCTTGAATTATAGTTAACCGGCTGTCCGTTGTTTCAATACTAAGAAATGAAATTGGGTTCTGTTCCGACTGGGCTAATGAAGACGGGTATAGGCCATACGACGTGCAATGAGGGATATTCTACCCGGATAGCGGCGCTAGGGCCTGCTCTTATTTCAAATTCCAACTGCCAATGGGTCTATTCTTTAATATGCAGGCCAATGTGTAAATGGGACCCTACACCACCGACAAGGGGGAGCCACCTCAGAAAATCCCGATGAACTTCTCAGCCAGCACCCCCACCGGTAAACCGGTAATAATTTGTTTCAATACAAATGTTAGTTGAATTTCCGTTGCTCAAACTCAAACGCCCGAACTTATTGTGACTTGTTTTTATTATAACATGTGGTTGTCAAAATCTGGCAAACTTTATTCCCGTCCCTGTGACAGCTTTGGTTGGTCTCTTTCAACATGTGATAGGTGCCAAGTTGAAAATGTTGATATTCAATTGCATAACGGATTTTACTTTACCGATACACGAGGAGAAACACACGAAAGAAGAATACACAATGTTAAGTAATGTATTAATATGGGTCGAAACACTTTATTTCGTAGCAATACCAAGTTCAGTAGTAAGTTTACTATAGAGAGGGAGAGAAATGGGGTTTAACGTCCACATAAACTAGATCATTTCGGGACTAAAATATGGTTCAATTATATTTCAATCATTCGCTTCCGCGTAGTGGTCTTAAGCAGTGGTAGGAACCCCGGAGAAAACCCACGAGGTTGAAAAGCGACCCCACTTATTGTCACGCGCAAGCGGGAAATCGAATATACGCCACTTGACCCAATGGCAGGCCTTATGATCTAACGAGCAGGTGTTAACTATTAGGTCATACAACCCCCAAGTTTAATACGATATTAAAATACTCACCATTCAGGAGATTGGTAGCCATGTTTATCCCTATAAGAAGAGAAAAAATATTGGGTTACTTGTATTCCATAGAATTGTGACCTGTATATACAGTTATGTATGGGCAATATAAATCCACCGATGAATTAAAGTTAAAAAAGCGTTGACTGAAATTCATCCTCAGCGGTCTCATACCGTTCTACTCCTCTATACACCGGGTTCATCCATGGGATATTCACGTATTCAAATTATTTGCCCTTGATCGTAGCTTGATTCTACGAACCAATCAAAAACAGTTTACAAAGTCTTGACCAATCAAACTGCTTATCGCTCCTTAGCCTAAGCAGAAAATTCTCACAATCGAACTTAGTCAAGGTAATGATATAATGAATCTATATTCGGAGTTTCATCGCTCTCACTTCATTATAACCAAAGTTATCGTGCCTCAAACCATCAACCAATCAGATCACTCTCACTCAATTAGAACTAAAGCATCAACCGATCAAATTGCTTATCTCTGCTTACCCTAAGCAGAAAATGTTCATCTTCGAACTCCATCAAGGCACCTAATAAACACCTACACCAAGTTTGAACATTGTAGCTCAATTAGAAAGAGAGTTATTGTGTCCCAAAAAGTGTGACGGACGGACGGACAGACAGACGGACGAACCAATTTTAATAGTCCACTGCTTTCTTCGAAAGGCGGGGAACAAAAATTCTTTTTATGCCAAGTTTATAGCACGTTGTCCATCTACGCGTTATTGTGGCGTTTACGTTACGGTCCGATATGCGCCAATATAAGTTTTATCAAAATCGAATAAAAATTGTAACCTTTATAGGCTCCACAACCTTGGCATTACATGCTTGAACACTATTTGCATAACGGGGAGCTGTAATTTTATCAGGACATTTAATGGTCCAATTATCACAACATCCGAACGTTTTTTTTTTTTTTTTCGTTTTTTTAATCAAATAAAAATTGGGACATCCAGTGGGTCCACAAGCTATCAACGCGATTTTTCATACAATCAGGGGCCATAACCCAGGAGGTTACGGTCAGATATGCACGAATATCGAAAAGAACCGAGATCTTTCGGATAAAAACATTTTAAGTTACATCAAAATTAAACAAGCCAACAGTGAGGCTGATGTCCCCCGCCGAAATCCCCAAATCCCCATATTAATTAAACGCACATTTTTTTTTTCAAAAGTATCGAACAATCAAACTGATTATCAACTATACACTAAGTTTTATCACTCTCTATCAAAGTTATGTTGTCCCAAAACATCGACCAATGGAATTACTTAGCTCTGCTTAGCTTAGCTTTAGCTCGAAATGTTAATTATTGAAATCAGTCAAGACATTCTACTTCAATTAGAAGCAGGGTTGTTATGTTCCAAAGTCTTGACCAATCAAATTGCTTATCGCCCCTTAGTCTTGGCAGAAAATTCTCATCATCGAACTTAATCAAGGTAATGCTAAAATGAATCTATACTAGGGAGTTTCATCACTCTCACTTAATTATAACCAACGTTATCGTGCCCCAAAGCATCAACCAATCAGATTGCTTATCTCTGCTTACCGTAAGCAGACAATGTTCATCATCGAACTTCATCCAGGCATTCACCAAATGCCTACACCAAGTTTGAACATTCTAGCTCAAGTAGAAGGAGAGTTATTATGTTCCATGGACTCGACCATTCATATTGCTTATCGCTCTACTTACCCTCAGCAGAAAATGTTCATTATCGAACTAAGTCAAGGTATTGATGTAATAAAACCATACACCAAGCATTAACCAATCAAATTGCAAAATCTCTGCTTACCCTAAGCAGCAAATTCTCATCTTCCAAATCCCTCAAGACATTGACCTAATAAACATCTACACCACGTTTGAACATTCTAGTTCAATTAGAAGGAAAATTATTGTGTTCCAAAGTCTCGGCCAATTGCTTATCGCTCGACTACTTACCCTCAGCAGAAAATGCTCATTATCGAACTTAGTCAAGGTATTGTGACCTCTTGAGGGACCAAAACCTTCGTATTTAGTTTTACACTAATTGCGTACAGGGAGCTGCCATTATATCGGGCAGTTTCGTTCCGATTTCAAACTCAACCGTCCTTATGGTGTAACGGTGATATGTTTGAGCGGTTTTTAAAATCTGAAAACAAGCGGTTGCCATGTTATATAATAAGGCGATTTTTCGGACAATCAGGGGTCGTAATCTAGGAAGTTATGGTCCGATACGCCAAAGTTTTGCAAGGAGAGAACACACAAAACGGCAGATTTCTAGAGATAACACGTGGACGTATATAAATAAGTCTGCCATCGTTATTCTTTATAAACTATTTAAGCCGTATCTGTAGAGAGAACTCAGCTTGTGATGCATCGTCGCCGTTATGGTCTCCCTTTATCTTAATTCGAGCTCTACACATTACCCGGCTGAACCCGAGCGGGGACGTGGGTCAGTTAGTGGGGGCGGAGGTCAGCTGCCCACCCCACTCCCCTAGCCCATACATACAAAATAATATACATTGTTATAAAGTATAGTTTTGTGGAATGTGATATTGCCAACTTGAAATAATTGGCCTCCCAATTCATATCTATTTATACGTTGAGTTTTGATCTGTTTAATTTATAACTTAAATTGGGTCATCGTGTTGTAAACATCAAAAACACGCGACGCAATTCTCTGGGAATTTATTTTACCGTGAACAAGCATTTCCCCGAGAATCGTAACACTATGATTAATTGTGCTTTCATGAACGAGAACGCGGCCTTAAAGGAGCTAAATCGCTTATATTTGGGACCTAGAAATTGACACAAATGGGTCGCAACTCATATAATAATGTAATATGAATGTATATAAACTGATTTACATTCAATCTTTTTTGTTTTTACTGTAATATATAATCAGTTATGTTCGACGAAATACACCAGTCTCATTCGAATGGCAATCTCTAACGTCTGTTTATTCCAGTCTACACCGATATTATTTATTGCGCATGCTCTCAAGAAAAGAATACGTCGTCATCTTTTGACATGACTTCTCGAATCTCGAATATGGCTAGCCTGATCGTTCTTTGAGTCCCTTGTTACAAATGCCGCTGATTCGTGTACCAATGGTAAAATGTTTATTTTGTCTTGAATATTGGATATCAGAAGCCATCTTTACCCGGTAAGATCACAACATCAATGTTAATGTAAATGGACAAATAATTCGTGTTTTCAATGTGGAAGACTTTGGATGATATTGAGTTCGAGATTTAGCTACTTTAAAGAGCCTATGGCTCTATTCTTTGGAACTATATAGACAAAAATGTGTCTTAAGTACATATTAATGGATTTATATTCATTTTTTTTTTTTTTTTTTTTTTTATAAATATATTGTAATTTCTAATCAATTATGTTCGGTGAAATAGGCGAATAGTCCAAACTCAACGACAATCGTTTAATCCTGCTTTAGTCCATTCTTCACGTTTTTATATTTGTCGTTTGTGAATCAGCCATTTCTAATTACTTCCGCATTCTCTTACAGGATATTTTTTCTGCGTTCATTATAAATGGCGTCGGAAACCATATAATATATGTATACTGATTATAAAATGTTCATCGTGTCTTAAATATTAGATATTTGGATCACATTATTCTACGGAAGTTCAAATACGTACAAAAACTTAAATACGAACTATATTTTTTGCTTTTTCGATTTGCTATATGTATTTTTAATTTTGAAAAGTAATTTCTAATTTCTATTTTTAATTTTGTAGAATAATTTTAATTTTGGATTTTGTAGAATAGCTTTTAATAGTTTTTAATTTTGTAAATTCATTTTTAATTTTAAAAGTAATTATTGGAAATTGCTGAAATTGAATAGGCTTCTTTGTTTCATTATAAAATTGTGACCTGTAGAGTTTCTACAAACAAATTGTGGACGGACGGACGTCTGGAATGACAGGGGCGAAAATAACATACGTCCACATAAAAATGTGGGCGCATAAAAAGTGTTGTAAAGCCACACACAAAGCAGAAATTTAATACCAAAAACCACCCTGTACTTTTCTATGGCAGAGAGATACAGTTACAGATCTGATAGTATTAGCCTACCTCTAGCTATTAATATTGCGCTCACATATTTCTCGGAGAAATGCTTGTACGCGGCAAAATAAACTCCTTTACATATTAATAATAATAAATAATGATAATAATGTCATTTATATAGCACTAGTCCACGCAGAGTATGCTCATAGCGCTTGTGATTCAGTTCTGTACAATAAAAGTCCAATACCATGCACCACTAAACATAACGTCTAAATAAATATGTCTTCAATAAGGTTTTATAGACTATATTTCAGCCGCATGTCCAGAGATAAATGGGGTTTGGGCCAAGTGTAATTTTTTCTTCTACATTTATCGAGATAACGTCGCGGAAATCAACTTATGATGCATCGTCGCTGTTTTGGCCATACTTCACTAATTCGAACCCTGCACACAAACTTCAGTTTAAGCAGGCGGGGTTCTTGGGCCAGGCTAGAATCGCTGTTCCCCTACCGCTACGAATAGATTACTTTATAGCCTACGATACCGGTTTCCAGGGATCGCAGACTCACCCACATTCTGCACACAGAGATCATCTACCCCATACTTCGAGAATAGATCTCTGCCCTAAATGACCGCCATATCCAATAATTAGTATACTGTTTCATAATGCGGTTCTACTCCGTTTCACATCTATCATACACACAAAGACTAAATAAACTTTTTCAACTTCATTAAATGGAAGCAGAATAAATACTTCTCAAAATTCCCGGTCAACTAGCTTAGTCACTGTTCTCAAGCAGAGCTAATTGTAGACAGGCAGTATAGGGTTAGTATGACTCACCACCCATCGCGCCGCACGACCAATCAGTGGAACTTTCATCTTTTAATCTTTTTGCCATGAACCGCGTGAAATCCTAAACCACGGAGCCCTGGGACAACTGCTTAGCTTAAGCTAGACAGTGCCTATACGTGGAGGCAGATAAATGAGCAGACATAATGCCCCAGAGCTTCTGATTCTTTTAAAATTCTAGGGAGGTACCTCTGACTTTAGGCGGGGTACGAGATTGGACCCAACCCTTGGAGCTCATTTCGCAAATATCGATAATATATTTTGAATTAAACTTACTTGAGTGATAACGGCTATTATTCAACTGAATTTAACCTTGTTCTGGCAGACGGTGGTCTTACTTGATCAGACAGACAGCGGGACTGAGAATATGAGAACGCGCACAGCGCAATATAACGGGTGTCGATCACGTGTTTTCTTTAAATGCAATTCAATCGGGGCGTGTTATGCAGGTGAGGTTTCCACCAGGACATATTTTAAACCTGAACTGGTTCTGAAGTTTTCCACGAATACATGCCCACAACTCACCGTACATGTTTTGACACGTCACGGGTCGCAGGGTTTTGTGATAGACCATTTGTAACTAAGCAGATAAAACTGGAGATCAAAAGGATATGAAATGGGGTTTAACGTCCCACTGGGTTTACGCCATACAGCGTGCTATGGCCTACTCTTTATTTCGAACTCTTACTGCCACAGGTTCTTTTACGTACACGCCAATGTGTAGACGGGACCTCGGTTTTTCGTTTCATCCCTTGCCAGCCCCCCTCCCCCCACCCCCGCGCACCAATGACAACGGGAACCCGGGAAATTCTTCGTTTGATAGAATCTTCATGTAAAAGTTCTTATGTCTCTAAATCCACCCAAGTAACGCCTGCGCGTTGTATCATATTAAGCTCTGTTATTGAGTCAAGTGGCGTGGTGTGTGTGTGAAATAGCTTTATTAAACATCCGCTTCCATCGAAGTGATATCGCAGACAATTACATGTTATATATACATACTGAAAATATTTACAATGTGAATAGTGGAAAAAATTAAAGGATAGTTAGATTTATATATATATATATGTACAGAAGACAATAAATAGGAGGACGAGACATGATATAACAAGTGCAAAGTAATGAGGTGCTAGTAGGGACAATCACAGATATTGACAAACAGACATGAATATGGACGAACATTTAGACAGACAGACATAGACATTTATATACGGACATTTTGACAAAACAGACGTGAAAGTGGACGAACATTTAAACATATTATGTACATAATATATATATATATATATGTGTGTACATAATATATATATATATATATATATAGTTTATCGATTTAAATTATTGCTGTTAATTTTGTAGTTCTTATTAAAATATTAACAATTTCTCAATAAAGCCTATAGTGTGCGTGGGTATGTGCCCTCCCTTCCGTGCCCTTAATTTGTTTAGTTCTCGATTGTTGCTAACTATGTTTATGTTCAGATCTTATAGGACTTAATCATAATCCTCCAACCAAGTGTCAATGTACTGTATGCCATATACGTCAAATCGATTCTAACATGTGCCACAGAACCAACCAAATCCCCCCGAAGTGCCCTAAGTTTGCTCTGCCTACCTGCCTTTGGAGGCTACAGCACGTCTCTGCCTGCAACACTGACAAGGGGAACTTTCGCGACTAACGCGGGGATCGAACACGGAACCTCCGGGTTAGCGAGCCAACGCCTTACTTGTTGAGCTACCGTGGCTCCCATGAAGGAAAACTATTTTAATGATGACAAGAAAGCCATATTAAGGCAACAAGACAGCTGTAGAACAAATATTGAACATCATTGGTTAAAATATGGAGACAAATGTTGCTTTGATTGTTTTTATGACATTACGTTAGAAAAGCTGTTTATGTCGATCGTCAAACTAAGTGAATTATATTTTACATTAATTATACACTGAAAAAACACTTGTGTTGGATCACACAAGTACTTGTGTTAAAACTAATCTACACAAGTTATGTGTTGTTTTGCATTGCATTAACACAAACTTGTGTCGATTTATAAAATCTTGTGTTTTTTTCATATCATTAACACAAGTAATGTGTACCTTCCAAGATTTGTTTTCTTTTTTAAAAAAAAACTCCATACAAAGTCTGAATTCGGGAGTCGTCAAGTTTTAAGAAAAGTAATAAAGGGCTTAATTCACATCTCGAAAATCACATGCTGTTCTTCACTGGAAGGGTGTGAGTACCAATTAATCAGACAATTGCCAGACAGACTTGAATGTTAATTGATGTTAAGTTGTCTGTAAAGTTAAAATGTCTGTCTTTTTTTATTGACCCAATAAACTGATAGATCAAATGAATATATAGTGTACATGTGATTTTCAGCACCCTGGTGTTTTCGAAAATTGATTCAATGTACAATGAACAAAAAAAATGAGTAAAACTCTTAATAATGTAATTGGTTGATGTAATCGAAATTGGACAGTATTGGTTAACTGAAAAGTAACCAATCAAATTTAATTGATCATCCACGTGTATCTCATAATCGACTTATTGATATAATGGTTCTCCAAGTTATCTATACTTTTTGTCTGCGATATCACTTCGGTGGAAGCGGACGTAAAATACAACTAACTAAGAAGAAGTATCTATACTTTAGTCATTGCGACAAATTCTTTCTTTGATATTATATCAGCGACATTCAGTTAGATAGATGTAGTGAAGTTAGCATCAACAGGGTGCTTTAGCCGTGATATTTTAAAAAAAATTATAATGGTCACATAGAATACCAGACCGCAGGTTTGTAAATTTTTACAAAAAATAAAACCGTGTATTTAATTTAGCATGTATATATTGCTTCTATGTATATAATAATTCGTTTCGTTTAAAACAGTCAGATTTAGAACTACTGCCACTGACTGCACCGGAAGTCTATTTATATAATGGCGCCACAAAGAAAATTTTTTTGATGTGTTCTAAAAGTGTTCCGCTAATTCAGAAATCTAATGAATCTGTCTTAATTTTTCTGAAATCGTGCTTAATTATTTTTAGCTAATCGGCGCTACACCGTTGTTCAAATACTTATAATTGCAAGAAACCCCCGACTAGGACCAGCAGGTAAGAATCTGTCTTGATTTTATAGTAATACCCGGTTGCAATTATTGGCCGCCATCTTTGATTTTTATAGACGTTCGGGCAAAAGGAGAAATGTATATCCAGACATGGACTATAGCTAGATACTAACTTTTGTGTTAGTTGTTTAGTTGAAATGTAATCTTATTTCTGTAAAAGAAAAAAACACCAACAAACAAATCAGCCTTTTTTTTTATATCAATGTCATCAATGTGTAGGCCTAATATTAGACTTTCAATGATTCAGAAGTTTCTCTACAGTTTCGTTATTTTTTTTCCCAGTCATTGATGTTAGCATGTACTACACAAAGAAAAACAGGTAACAGAATTTCATTTCCTTTTAATATATTTTTTTAATAATGGCCAATAATTGTTATTGTATGTAACACGAAAAGTATTTATCTCTGTAGAGAGAGGGCGAGTAAATGGGGTTTAAAGTTCACTAAATTCACTTGACACAAACTATGCCATTCATTTCCTTGTATTAAATTGGTCCTAGAATCAAGTAGGACAGGTAGTCTTCTTCCGCCCTTTTTCTGAACACTGTCTCATTCTATTGCCATCTGTGTATGTTGTGTTATATTAATTCTGCATAATTAACTCTAGTTAACCTAGTTAACTCGATAATAATAAATGAATTTAATATATAAATAAATAAATAAAATATAAATAAACCAATAATATATTTGTAGTTTAATATGTTTTATCTTATCATTACAGGCAAAGCATGAAGCCAAAGGAAATGTTTTTACCAAGGCATGTTCCTCAATAGCGGAGAGAGTTTTATCCAGTGTCGGTTCTGCAGAAGAACCCATTCATAGCAGACCACCCATTGCAGCACTTGTAAGGTCGCTATAAAGAACCCGACAGACTCTGCGACCAAAAGATCCCACTGACGTGTCGTCAAGCGTAAGTACTCATGCAATTAAATACCCATGTATATAAGAATTTATTAACATGTAATTAAATGTACAATTATATTTATTTATTAACATGTACTTAAATGTACTTTTTTATTTATTTTTTGTTTTAGCTTGACGAAGATTTCATCGATCATAGTGCACCGGGATTTTATCAAAAAAGAGTAAAAGTTGGGGAAAGGCGCCATCACATTTTTTGTACTGATAGACAGATGCAACTACTCGCACGCGCAAAAACTTGGTATATGGATGCAACTTTTCCGGTGGTGAACAAGCTGTTTTCCATACACGCCTTCATTAAGACTGGAGAGACCACCCGACAGTTACCATTGGTGTTTTGTGTAATGTCGGGTAAAAGCCAAGACGACTATTATAAGGTAAATAGCACTTACTGATTGAATTACTATTAATAGTAAAAAAGGACTATTATTTGGGACCTTGAAATTGTCACAAATGGGTCGCACTAACAGGACATTTGTTTCAGGCATATTTGTTTCATCGGTGACACGTCTGGTGTCATGTGAATGCAACGACAACAGCCTGGTTGATTGATTTGTTGATTGGAGTTCAGATGTCTACATTAAAATCGACCACTTTCAGGTTGCCGTATTCACTGCCAGGCAAGACCGACTTGAAATTTCTAGAAATTTTCCTGGGGGAGACAGGCCCCAACAAATCCCCCGACGGTGCGTTTCACGACTTTGGCGCAAGACGGTGACCTTGAAGAGACGTCGAAAACCATTTAATAGACATAGTAAAAGTCATATCTTGCGAGATTATCGCTGGTCTTGTCAGAAAATGCTATTTTATATATGACCAGTTTGTGTTTGAAAAATTTAATTATTTATTCTCCCACCATTAAAGCACACTAATTACGAAATATCGCTCTCAGAAACTTCATGGTTTCTTTTGCAATTTGTTTGGGGTAAGACGTTATATAAATAATATCAATCTGTCTACCACACAAATTTAACAGATACAAATGCATGTTATTCCACAGGTAGACAGACAGGGCCTCCTTTGAAGGGACTCAGTGAAGGGAACGCGGTTGGTTTAGAGTTTGTCTGACCCCTTTGAATATTTGCGTCTCATCTCCAATGAAAACAATCATGTTGCTCTCATGCTGTTCTCAACCAGAATCAAACATATATCGTACCTGAGATTTGTTAGCATGTTCCACACAACCCAACATTTATCGGCACCGGGATTAAGGGTGTATATCTTTGTTTCTAACGCTTATTGGGAATACGCCACGGAAACTACAATAAAAACTTATTTACAAAAACATTCTAAAGAGGGAAAACTGACATATTTCAAGCTTTACTGTATTTAAAGATATAATTTAAATCAGCCGGCTGAAACCCCGTCTCCGCTATTTGTTCAGTCATTCTTTAGGTATAGTGCCAGTTTCCACCGACAATGATATTGCAAACAAGTGTCCAATCTATAAAAGCATACATTCCTACAAAATATTTATTTAGTCAAGTGAAACAATAAATTCATAACTATGCGAAGGTGTGGTGAGTAAATTCGTGGTAACGTGAATAGGCTAATGTGACATAGAACAAGGTCACATTGATGTTGACAAATACATAAGACGATATGAACATCAACTAAAAAGATATGTAATGTGATTCAGCTGCAAGGTGATATATGCATATATGCAGCATAGATAATTAAAACTTCTGTTCAAGTTAAACCAACTGTATCTATTTATTTAAGTCTTACGTCGAGCTGAATACATTTTATGATTTATTTTCATCTATTGGTGGTTAACAGTGTGTAACTAAAAACTAAAATTGGATCTTATTATTGCCAATGATATAATGTACATGTAATAGTGTATATATATTTTTTGTTCAGTCTGTACACAGTAACATATCTGAGAACCATATTATTATCATTTCTGCCCAAGGCTCCCTGTGCCTTATAGTTAGCAGTGATACAAGGCAATTACCAATTTTCCATGTTCTTGGCCTGAAGAAATAAAATAATAAAAGTCAAGTTTTTATTATTATGCAAGTGGAAAAATACAATTATTCATAGTATGGTTTGAAGTTGGAATTATTATTTGTCTAAGATGACTGGGCATTTACAAATTGAAATAGCTACTCTTCAATAAGAAAATACATGAATATTTTTCCCAATTCACCTGGATTTTATTGTAGGTCTTTGTACGTGAAATAGCTTTATTTAAGATTGCATGTCGTGTAAATATTTATTTGGTTTTTTGTGTAGGTCATTTTCAAATAAATTCATCAGCATATTATTCGTTTTAAATAAATATAAAACTTTTATGAGAAACGATGATTATCAAAGAACCGTAAGTGCAACTAATGTTTTATCGTTTGGTTGAGCCTTTAACTAACCACGTGTTTCATGTTAATAAATATTTTCTTTCGTGTTTTGTTTGAATTGGCCTATTTCTAATAAATTATCCCGAGTCCCAAACGTCGTTAACCCGAGTCCCAAACGACGTATACCGGAGTCCCAAATGTCGTGGTCATATTTTTTTGAGTCCCAAATGACGTGAGTCCCAAATGACATGTAATCAACCTAGAGTTGTTGTTAGTGTTTGTCGGATAGATCCTTTATACTTACTGGCGCTAGGTAATTTCGAGGCTAATATTGTTCAATTTTATTTGAATGATTTGCTTGCGCGTACCGTAGGAGTGTATTAGAAACAGTGTTTGCGCAGGTTCGAGAACGGCTGAAGAACATGAAAACACTTTCATGAGTCTCGAACATGAGAGAACGGTATCCATGGTAACAAGATGAATTAAATTCATACAATCTGTTACGATAACTTGTTTAGTATTTACTTCGCTATTAAGCATAATTTTGATAAATTATGACACCGTTTTACTCCTTTTCAATTCTTTGGATGACGATTACATCACCTTTTGATACGCCCTCGTCCGTAGGTTTGTCCGTCGTCTACAGAACTGATTATTTTAAAATTGATATGTTGTTTATTTTAATGAGATGAATCCTATTTAATTTCAATAATTTCTGTTAGTTTCTTCTGGAGTTATGGCCCTTGTTTCACTTTGTGAAATTCATTTAAATCTTTTAAATTAGTGAAACGAAGACGTCTATTAAATTTCTGCGATTTCTGTGAATTATGTCTAGAGTTGTGGCCCTTGTTTCACTTTTTCGAACCTTGTGAACGCACGAACAACAAAATTATCATCCGATTTGTATGAAAATTGTATGCATTATTTAAATTAGTAAAACACAAAACAAAAAAATCTGTCAAATTTCAACAATTAAGGCCCTTGTTTCAGTTTGTAGAACCTTTGTAAACCCACAAACGACAAAAATTATAATCTTGTATGAAATTTTCTTGTAAATGCCCACATTACCTACAAAAGAATGAATATGCGACAATCCCTGTTGACTGCGCAAACGATTAAACTGCTGTGGGCATATGTTTCGTTGCCTGGCAACGTAACTTACTTCATGTTATACTGGCCACATACTACATCCAATTTTCGAACGGTATTAAACTTCTAAATTAATAAATGCACCCATGATGCTGTTTTCTCAGCAGTTATCGATGCGTCGACCTTTGTAAACCCACAAACGACGAAAATTATAATCTTGTATGAAATTTTCTTGTAAATGCCCACATTACCTACAAAAGAATGAATATGCGACAATCCCTGTTGACTGCGCAAACGATTAAACTGCTGTGGGCATATGTTTCGTTGCCTGGCAACCTAACTTACTTGATGTTATACTGGCCACATACTACATCCAATTTTCGAACGTTATTAAACTTTTAAATTAATAAATGCACCCATGATGCTGTTTTCTCAGCAGTTATCGATACGTCGACCATGTTTGTTCTCCCTCACACCAGCTATGAGGTAGTGTGGGATTTGAGAACGGGAATGTGTTCGTGAACGCATTCCAGACTGCTCAAGTCCGACAAGAACCCATTCTCCGTCCGTTCTCTGCACCGGAACACTGTTTCGAATACACCCTAGGGGTATTTAGGAAAGGGAGGAAACCGGAGGACCCGGAGAAAACCACAAGGCTGGACAGGCGACCCTATTCCTAGTCACATTCAAGTGGGGAATCACATAATAATGGCCTATTTCAAATAAGATATTTGCATATAAAGAAAGTAGGCTTACAGCCTCTTTCAAATGTGATATTTGCATATAAAGAAAGTACAAACTTAAATCGTCAGTGCTGGATAAACTAGCCAAAGGATTTGGCTGAATCAATTGGCGCTAAACTTCACCTAGTTTATCCACTGACATACGCCCGAATCAAACATGTTTGATATATTTGGCCGAATTGTATTTGAGTGGTGTGTCCGCTTCGCCGAAGCATTCGTCTGATTTTAGAATTCATTAGCCAATCACCACTCATTCATATCGAGTGGGTATCGCAAACTAGCAGTCGAACTGTGACACGGGTGCTACAGCCAACAAATTCCAACTACCATACTATCGGCTTAAATGCACGCCAATGGGACCTCAGGTTTTGTGTTCCATTGAAACGACTAGAAATGAAATGAAATGGGGTTTAACGTCCTACTGTTTTGCTCCGAACTGGGCTAATGAAGACAGGCATACACCACACAGTGTGCTATGAGGGAAATTTTGCCCGGACAGCGGCACTGCGGTGTATCGAATTCCAACTGTCAAGGGATCTTTTACGTGCACGCCAACGTGTACACGGGACCTCGTTTTTTCATTTCATCCGAATGACTAGACAGCTGTCCTTGTCAGGCCCTCCGTCCTGCATCACTGACAAGGGGGAACCACGCCGGGAAATCTGGGTGAACTTTCTCGGCCAATGCAGGGATCGAACACCCGACCTCCAGGCTAGCGAGCCAGCGTCTTACCCACTTAGCCACCATGACGACTAGGCATGGAATCCATGCTGAAAAATTCAAATGAGCTTTCTCGGTCAACACTGGGAGCGAACCCGCAACCTCCCGGGTACCAAGCCAGTGCCTTACACACTAAGCCACATGACTCTCTTCTAATTACTGTGACAGTCCAGTCACATGACAAACAAGGGTTATTTAAACAGATTTTCAAGGCTTGGGTAAGATCTTCGGGATTCAAATGGTTTTAGATATCACACAGTTTGTATATGGTAAGGTATCTTAAACAGTTTATTACATGTCACATATTCATATTTTTCAGTTTCCATATTAGATGCCATAGCAAATCAAAGATCATATAATAAAATAAGTCAAAAAACCCAAATATGGAAAAAGAAAGAGCTGAAGAAATGGTGATTTGAGCACCTATGCTTTCTCATAGGTGTTTTTGGAGGGTGAGTGTTCAATTCTAATAGAAAAGATTGTTGTTATGGTATTTTAGAATCTCACCATAATGTGTTTGGCACAATATATCCCGGTTGGAGCTGTTGTGACATAAACCTCCATTTCATTTTATTGTTTTGAAATTTAAAATTCAGTTTATTATAGTAAATTTGTACACGTACATGTATGTGCACAAACAGAATCTTACTTATGTCCAGATACATGTAGATATGACAGTCTCATCTGTGGGGGACCACGGTGGCCAAGTGGGTTAGACACTGGCTCGCATATTTTAAGGTCGCGGGTTTGCAGTAAGACATTGCAGTACGGAGGACTGGGCTAATGAAGTTGGGCATATGCCATACAGTGTGCTACGAGAGAAATTTTGCCGGGTACCGTGACCTTAAGGCCTTGTCTTGTATCAAATTCTAACTGCCAGGGGATCTTTTACATGCACACCAATGTGTACACGGGACCACGTTTTTTTGTTCAATCTGAATGACTAGACAGCTGTCCTTGTCAGGCCCTCCGTCCTGCATCACTAACAAGAGGAAACCACGCCGGAAAATCTGGGTGAACTTTCTCGGCCAATGCAGGGATCGAACACCCGACCTCCAGGCTAGCGAGCCAGCGTCTTACCCACTTAGCCACCATGACGACTAGACAGGGAATCCATGCTGAAAAATCCAAATGAGCTTTCTCGGTCAACACTGGGAGCGAACCCGCAACCTCCCGAGTAGCAAGCCAGTGCTTTACACACTAAGCCACACGACTCTCTTTTAATTACTGTGACTCTCCAGTCACATGACAAACAAGGGTTATTAAAACAGATTTTCACGGTTTAGGTAAGATCTTCGGCATTAAAATGGTTTTAGATATCACACAGTTTGTATATGGTAAGGTATCTTAAACAGTTAATTACATGTCACATATTCATATTTTTCAGTTTCCATATTAGATGCCATAGCAAATCAAAGATCATATAATAAAATAAGTCAAAAAACCCAAATATGGGAAAAGAAAGAGCTGAAGAAATGGTGATTTGAGCACCTATGATTTCTCATAGGTGTTTTTGGAGGGTGAGTGTTCAATTCTAATAGAAAAGATTGTTGTTGTGGTATTTTAGAATCTCACCATAATGTGTTTGGCACAATATAGCCCGGTTGGAGCTGACATAAACCTCGATTTCATTTTAATATTTTGAAATTTAAAATTCAGTTTAGTATAGTAAAACTGTACACTTACATGTATGTGCACAGACAGAATCTTACTTATGTCCAGATACATGTAGATATGACTATCTCCTCTGTGGGGACCCATGGTGACCAAGTGGGTTAGACACTGGTTTGCATATTTTAAGGTCGCGGGTTTGCAGTAAGACGATGCAGTACGGGGGGCCTTACAAGGACAGCTGTCTGGTCGTTCAGATTGAACAAAAAAACGTGGTCCCGTGTACACATTGGCGTGCATGTAAAAGAGCCCCTGGCAGTTAGAATTTGATACAAGAGTAGGCCTTAGGGTCACGGTACCCGGCAAAATTTCTCTCGTGGCACACTGTATGGTATATGCCCAACCTCATTAGCCCAGTCGAAGCTGAACAGTAGGACGCCAAACCCCATTTCATTTCATTTTTTTCATTTTGTCTCATCTGTGACAAAGCAAACCAACACATTACAATACAATTTAATTAAATTAAAACTTTCGTCTATTTAAATATTGAATCGATTTAAGTCAACTAAAACATAGTATGTTTTTTTTCTCAGTTAACTACATCAGAAAGATCAAGACAGTTGGAAATGCCTATTCATATTATGGAAACTTTTTCTCACAGGGCTTGATAATCAGGTAAAATGTAAGTAACATACATATTTGTATTTTTAATCATCAACTAGTTCTATACACTTGATTGGTAATCTAGTTATTCTTCTTGGGGCAATGCCTAGGACTCTCCTATTCAAGTCTTGGCATTCTTGATTTTTGACAATCACATCCATTGATTTTCTTCAAGTTGTGATAGACCCTATGTGTATTTTTACAGTAAATAGCAGTATAAAAATGGACAATATTTTACTTTTCAAATAGATTTTAATAGGTAATATCCAATTTGTTGTCGATGGAAATAAAATATAATAATCTGCCTGGGTCTGTTACTGGACAAGACACAATAAGTGTTACCCAAAGATGAAACAAAATAGAGACTCAGTCTAGATGTGGCAAAATAAATTGTTTATTTAAACATTGTGAACCATAAATAGTAAGAAAGTATTCTTATTGCCTACTTTTTATTTTTTAGGCTGGAAGATTATTTGATGTATGATAACAAGAGATCCCAGGCATCAATTTATTTTATAATTCTGGAAAAGAATGCATTTGACCCAATTTTTGAATATTTTTTTTTGTTTTTACTGTTAAATATTCATCCCAAACACAATTAGATTTTAATTCTCTACAGAAATTTATGTATAATATAGAATGTAAAGTGACATATAAATCACTTAGAATTTGGTCGGAAATCATAAAGTATTTAATAGGCATAGTCTAGAAACCAAATGTAGATCAAATATACCCAGAATTACAAAAAACCTTGACCTACATTAAGGTGACTTTCCCTTGCTTATGAAATGAAATAGGGTTTAATATCCTACTTTTCTGTGTTATTATGGTGATTGATTCTGCCCTACAATCTACTCTTATATCAAATATTTCATCTGTCAAGGGTTGTTTAACGGGAACCCAGGAGGGCCGAATGGTTAACACACGCACATTGGATCAGAAGGGTCTGTCATTGAGTCAGATAATTCAATTGTCAAGGGTTCTTTAAAGTAAACGCAGTGGGGGTAGTTTCAATTCTGGGCGTATACCCAATTATCCCTTGCCATGTCCTACACTACTGACGTGTGGGAACTATGTCGGAAAATCCAGTTGAAATTTATCGGCCAATGCACTCACTGAACCACAGTGGCTCCTCCTTGCTTTTGACTTGTGATTATTTATATATATTTTGTACATATTATTTAATGTTTGCGATTTTCTCTGATATTTTTTTATTTTTCAATCCTGTAATCTTGATGCTTTGCTCCTTTTATGTACAAAATATTCATTTTGTTTGATGAAAAGGTTCTACATCATTTTATTACTCCTGCAAAATAGTGCATTTTTCTTTTGTTAGTTTTCTGTGTATGATAGTTATTTCTAGATGCCTCACAAATCACTTGTAATATGACTTTGTAGCAATTTTCAGTTTCTGAAAGTATTTCAATTTAGTGCATAATTAATCTAATTAGGGCTTGGTTTGGATGTTATTAAATTTAGATATATTTGAATTATATATTTTTGGGGTATGGGGTAGGGATCTTTCTTTTCTCAGTTCTTGTTTTCGGGTAAAGAAAAAATTAAATAGCTATTTTGAATTTTGTGATGTGGGGGGGAGGGGGTCAAAGTATAACAAAATTTTTATTAGTATTAGAATAATATCTCTGTTTTTCTGTTAACATTTCAAATGATGTCTATTTAGTTTTGATTTGGTGGTGTTAATTTACTTTTTCCTATCATTTTATGAATAAATGATAATTTAACAAATAAAATTATTGTTACCTCATTTATCAAACTTTACAGGTTAAACAGAGCAAAAGGGGTGGGGGGCTGCATGGGAAAGATTATACACAAGTTTTTATGAAACCACACGAGTTTCAGAAATTTCAACACAAGTTTCAGAAATTTCAACACAAGTTTCAGAAATTTCAACACAAGTATTGTGTAGATTTTCACACAAGTTTCAACACAAGTTTGTGTTGTTTGGTTAATTTTAACACAAGTCTTGTGTTGTTTCAACATTTAACACAAGTTTGTGTTGTTTCAACACAAGTTTGTGTTGTTAAACACAAGTTTTTTTTCAGTGTACTTCAATAAAAAAGGGGAACGACTACCTGGTGGCTTGATAAATTAACGCTCTGTGATAATTTAATTCACAAATACGTAAAACATCTCAATCTTATTTACCTACAATTAGTGTTTTGTTTAAAATTTATGTACATTAATGAACACTTTTCCCAAAAAACCTGGAACATCCGGGTTAAAAGTTACCTGCCAAATATTCTATTGAAACTGATTTTATAAAAAGTTGTTTACGACGGTTGTCAAATCAACATTCAACTATAGTTGAAAGAAATGAGTAATGTCAATTAATATTGTTTGCACTTAATAAAAGTTAGATTTTAGTTAAAAGTGAAATTCAATAGATGGGATACTGGACCTCTAAGCAAGTAGTGTGAATTCTACGGAAGCGTAATAGGGCCACATATTTTTTTTTTATTATTCTATTTTCAACTTGAATTTTCAAGTTACTAACTTGAATTTTCAAGATACTAACTTGAATTTTCAAGATACTAACTTGAAATTCAAGTTACTAACTTGAATTTTCAAGTTACTAACTTGAATTTTCAAGATACTAACTTGAATTTTCAAGATACTAACTTGAATTTTCAAGATACTAACTTGAAGTTACTAGTTACTTTTATCCGTTTCATTTCTGGTAGCCTATATTTGTGTCAAGGCTGCTGTGTGGGCGTATTATCTTTCTTGTATGGCCTTTTACTACCCGGAATTTTCAAGTTATTGACTTACAGGCTTTAAAATTTAGAAAAGAATAAATTAATGGCCCTATTACGCTTCCGTAGAATTAACAGAGAGCGAAAGAGTATTGCGTTTATACTCCGCTCTGATAAAAAAAAAATATGTCTTCTCTTCATAAACTGGCAGTATTGACCTAAATAAATGAAAGGGTGAATGTCGTTTATAGCACGTCGACACCGTAAATCATGTCAATCTACGTGTTATCGCCGATAAATGCTTGTTCACGGTAAAATAATAAATTCCCAGAGAATTGCGTCTTGTGTTGGTGATTTTGCGACACGATGACTCAATTCTATTTGTGAATTAAAGAGATCAAAGTTCAACGTATGAATGTGGGGTAAATTATTCCAAGTTATCAAATCACATTCCCCAAACTTTATGACAATTTATATTATTTTGTATGCATAGGCATATGAGCCAAGGGGGTGGGTGGAGGTTATGGGGAGCAACGTATGAATGGGGGGGGGGGGGCACATTATTTCAAGTTAGCAAAATCACATTCCTCCGGTGACGTACTAGGACCTCCCAAGTATAGTGTAGGCAGAGCAAACTCTGGGCACTTATTTCGAGATGATAGGGGTTGGGGCGGGGTCTGCGCCAGGATATGTTTGACTTTCTTGTCATAAACTTACCAACACACCATTAAAATAGTTTTCCTTCATGGGAGACACAGTGCTTCAAGTGAGTAAGACGTTGACTCGCTAACCTGGAGGTTACGTGTTCGATCCCTGCGTTGGCAGAGAAAGTTTCCCTTGCCAGTGGTGCTGGAGCCTCCTCCGAAGGCGGGTAGGTAGACCAAATTTAAGATACTTCAGGGGGGGAATGTTTGGTTCTGTGGCATATGACGTATATCTGAGCCATGGCATACCATACATTGACACTTGGTTGAAGGATTAGGAGTTGAACAAGTCCCGAAAATTAAAACAAGAACTTATAACGACCTACACATAAAAAAAACTTGTGTTGAAACAACACAAACTTGTGTTGAAAACACCACAAGTTAGGTGTCTCTATGTGTTAAATGTTGAAACAACACAAAACTTGTGTTAAAATTTGTCAAAAAACACAAACTTGTGTGAAAATCTACACAAAACTTGTGTTGAAATTTCTGAAACTTATGTTGAAATTTCTGAAACTTGTGTGGTTTCATACAAACTTGTGTATACCATCAACAAAAACTTGTGTTGTATTTTCCCCCAATTCTTATCCAGTATAGCAACCTTTCCCATTCAGCAAAACTCCTTTTGCTCTGTTTAACCTGTAAAGTTTGATAAATGAAGTAACAATAATTATTTTTGTTAAATTATTATTTATTCATAAAATGATAGGAAAAATTAAATTAATACCACCAAATCAAAACTAAATAGACATTTGGAATGTTAACAGGAAAACAGAAATAATATTAATAAAATTGTGTTATATAATGACAAAATCCCCCCCCCCATCACAAAATATAAATTAGGTATTTAAATTTTTGTTTACCCTAAAACAAGTACTGAGAATATAAAGACATGTACACAGTATCCCTACCCCACACCCGAAAAATACATAATTCAAATACATCTAAATTTAATAACATCCAAACCAAGGACTAATAGAGAAATTGTGCACTAAATTGAATTACTTTCAAAAATTGAAATGTACTACAAAGTCATGTTACAAGTGATTTGTGAAGCATCTAGAAATAACTAGCATACACAGAAAAGTAACAAAAGAAAAATGCACTATTTTGCAGGAGTAATAAAATGATGTAGAACCCGTTCCTCATTAAAAAAAAAGACAAAACAAAATGAATATTTTGTACATAGAAGGAGCAAGATTAAAATATAAAAATATCAGAGAAATTGTCAAATATTAAATAATATGTACAAAATATTTATATAAAATTACAAGTCATAAGCGGGGGGGGGGGCACAGTGAGTATAGGGCTTTGGCAGAGAAATTTCAACTAGATTTCCCAGTATAGTTCCTCCATGTAAGTAGTGTAGGGCATGGCATAGGGACAATAAACCTAGGTCTCATATATACATTGCCATGCATTTTAAAGAGAAAGCGAGAAATGCGGTTTAGCGTCCACTCAACACAAGCTGGGTCAATTGGGTACAAGCCCTGATCAAAACCACCCCCACTGCGTTCACTTTAAAGAACCTGTGACAATTGAATTATTTGACTCAATGACAGACCTTCTGATCCAATGTGCGCGTGTTAACCATTCGCCCCCCCCCCCCTCCCGGGTTCCGTTAAAAGAACCCTTAACAGTTGAAATATTTGATATAAGAGTAGGTTGTAGGACAGAAGTAATAACACAGAAAACTAGGATATTAAAATCTATTTGATCTCATAAGCAATGTAAAGGGTTTTTTGTAATTCTGTAATATTTGATCTACATTTTGTTTTCAGAAATGCCTATTAGATACTTTATGATTTCTGACTAAATGTTACCTTCTATATTATACACAAATTTCTGGAGAGAATTAAAATATAGTTGTGTTCAGATATATTTAACATTAACCCTCCCCCCCCTCCCCCCCCCAAAAAAAAAAAAAAAAAATTGGTTCAAATGCATTCTTTTCCAGAATTAAATTGATGGTGTAATATTCAAAAGGTGTGGTTGGGTTCTCTCGTTGTTATCATACATCATTATACTCTTCCAAGATTCTGAAAAATAAGGAATGAATTCCATCATTTTATAACTTATGCAGGGATTGTCAATATATAACACAATTTTATTAGTATTGGAATTAACTTTTTCTATCAACATTCCAAATGTCACAATGTATAAATAAACAATTTATTTTGCCACATCGAGACTGAGTCTCTATTTTGTTACAGCTTTGCATAAAATATATCATGTTTTGTCCAGTTACAGACCCAGGCAGATTATTATGCTCAAATGGGTCAGAAGTCAGAACAAATGTCTTGAAATTTGGGATTGAAGTCAAATAATAGGGCAGCTATTCATCCAGATCAAACATGTATTATGTCTCCAAATCTAGAATCCCTACACTTGAAATAGCAGAATACTAGGCATGGCCATAAGATAAGAAGAAAAACAAGCCAATAGGAGGCTATGTCCCCCGCCGAAATGACACGTTAATTAATCGCACATTTATTTGTTTTCAAAAGTATCGAGCAATCAAACTATACATTAAGTTTCATCACTTAATGTTCAGGTAGAATCACGATTATCTTGTCCCAAAGCATCGACCAATGAAATTGATTAGCCCTGCCTAGCATTAGCTCGAAATGTTAATCATTGAACTCGGACAAGACATTCACCTAATGAACATCTACATCAAGTTTAAACATTCTACCTCAATTAAAAGCAGAGTTGTTATGTTCGACAGTCTTGACCAATCAAATTGCTTACCCCTCCTTAGCTTAAGCAGACAATTCTCACCATCTAATTTAGTCAAGGTAATGGTATAATGAATCTATATTCTGAGTTTCATCACTCTCACTTAATTTAGAACCAAAGTTATCGTGTCCCAAAGCATCAACCAATCAAATTACTTATCTCTACTTACCATAAGCAGAAAATGCCCATCTTTGAACCCCATCAAGACATTGACCTAATAAACACCTACACCAAGTTTGAACATTTTAGCTCAATTAGGAGAGTTATTGTGTTCCAAAATCTCGGCCAATCAAATTGCTTATCACTTTGCTTACCCTAAGCAGAAAAAGTTCATTATCGAACTTAGTCAAGGTATTGATGTAATGAAACTATACACCAAGTTTCATCACTCTCACTTAATTAGAACTAATATTATCGTGTCCCAAAGCATCAACCAATCAAATTGCTTATCTCTGCTTACCCTCAGCAGAAAATGCTCATCTTTAAATTCCATCAAGGTATTGACCTAAAAAACACCAACACCAAGTTTGAACATTCTAGCTCAATTAAACAGACAGACGAACCCATTTTAATAGCCTCCTGCTTTCTTCGAAAGCCGGGGGACAACTAGATTACCAAGTGTATAGAGCCAGTTCCTGTATGGTACTTACATTTTGCCTTATTATCAAGGTCTGCGAGAAAAAGTTTCCACAAGAATATCTATTTCCAACTGTCTGGATCTTTCCAATTTGGTTAGCTGAAAAAAAAACAAACCATGTATTAGTTGACTTAAATTGACTAGACAGTTAAAAAATGAAAGTGTTAATTTAATTATATTGTAGGCCTATTTGTGGTGTGTTGGTTTGCTTTGTCAAAGATGAGATAAAAAATGAAATGGAATGGGGGTTTAACGTCCTGCATCTCTGCTCCGAATTGGCTAATGAAGATGGGTATATGTCATACAGTGTGCTTTAAGGGAAATTTTGCCCGGTAACGTGGCGCTAAGGCCTATTCTTATATCGAATTTCAACTGCCAGGGGGTCTTTTACGTGCACAGCAATTTGTATATGGAACCTTAGTTTTTTGTTGAATTCAAACAAATGGACATATGTCAGCCTGCACCATTGACAGGGAGATAACATGTCGGAAAATCCTAGTGAAGTTTCTCGGCCAAGATCCGGAGCAAACTCACCATCATCATGCACATGCAATGTTTATGTACATGTACGTGCAGAGTTTTACTATACTAAACTGAAATGGAATTGAGTTTTATGTCACATCAGCACAACCAGGATATATTATGCCAATAATGAGATTCTAAAATACCATAATGACAATCTTTTCTATTAGAATTGAACACTAATCACAGTAATTAGAAGAGAGCCATTGTGGCTGAGTGGGTAAGGCGCTGGCTCGCTAGCCAGTGTCAACCGAGAAAGCTCATCTAGACTTTCTGGCGTGGTTTCCCCTTGTCAGGGGTGCTGTGCAGGGTGGAGGGCCTGACAAGGACAGCTGCCTAGTTGTTTCGAGGGAACAAAAAAGCAAGATCCCGTGTACACATTGGCATGCACGTAAATTGTAATCGATCCCTTGGTTGGTAGTTGGAATTCGTAGGCTGTAGCACCCCTGTCACAGTTCGACCGCCAATTTGTGATACCCTTAATTTAAATTTTTGTTCTGTGCATGCCCATTTTGGTTTAAAGGAATCCAGTTTTTTTTTTCTAGTGATATTTAAGCCTGTACTTTCTTTATATGCAAATATGTGACTTGGAAAAGGGTCGCCTATCCAATCTCTTAAGAAATTGAACCTTAAATGTTAGTCCCGAAATTACCTAGCACCAGTAATATTACCTATACAACAAATACCAACAACAAATCCGGGTTTATGCAGAATTAATATAACACAACACACAAAAATGGTAATAATATAAATAGAGAGGATCCCCGGAAAGTGTAATAATATTGCTAGAATTTTTGCTCTTGAAATTAATGGTGGCAATATATTTCATTAATTAATATCTTTGGCAAGTTGGTAGATTCCCAGATATGTAGAATTGTACTAAATCAACTTAGTCTGTAATTGTTATATAAAAAAGAGTTACATGTGTCTATAAAATACCACAGAGAGAACACGTGACGGAAAATTACGATTGTATCATTCGGCTTGTTTGACCAATCTCTATACTTATTTACATGATATTTGACCAATTAGATAATTGAACGTCCAAAACCCACAGCTACAAAACTATCATACTAGTGAGAATTCGTTAGACTACCATTAGATTCCAGAGAGTCCCTAGATCAAATATTACAGAATTACAAAAAAAAACCTTTACATTGCTTATGAGATCAAATAGGTTTTAATATCCTAGTTTTCTGTGTTATTACTTCTGTCCTACAACCTACTCTTATATCAAATATTTCAACTGTTAAGGGTTCTTTTAACGGAACCGGGGGGGGGGGGCGAATGGTTAACACGCGCACATTGGATCAGAAGGTCTGTCATTGAGTCAAATAATTCAATTGTCACAGGTTCTTTAAAGTGAACGCAGTGGGGATGGTTTTGATCAGGGCTTGTACCCAATTGACCCAGCTTGTGTTGAGTGGACGCTAAACCGCATTTCTCGCTTTCTCTTTAAAATGCATGGCAATGTATATATGAGACCTAGGTTTATTGTCCCTATGCCATGCCCTACACTACTTACATGGAGGAACTATACTGGGAAATCTAGTTGAAATTTCTCTGCCAAAGCCCTATACTCACTGTGCCCCCCCCCCCCCCCCGCTTATGACTTGTAATTTTATATAAATATTTTGTACATATTATTTAATATTTGACATTTTCTCTGATATTTTTATATTTTAATCTTGCTCCTTCTATGTACAAAATATTCATTTTGTTTTGTCTTTTTTTTTAATGAGGAACGGGTTCTACATCATTTTATTACTCCTGCAAAATAGTGCATTTTTCTTTTGTTACTTTTCTGTGTATGCTAGTTATTTCTAGATGCTTCACAAATAACTTGTAACATGACTTTGTAGTACATTTCAATTTTTGAAAGTAATTCAATTTAGTGCACAATTTCTCTATAAGTCCTTGGTTTGGATGTTATTAAATTTAGATGTATTTGAATTATGTATTTTTCGGGTATGGGGTAGGGATACTGTGTACATGTCTTTATATTCTCAGTACTTGTTTTAGGGTAAACAAAAATTCAAATACCTAATTTATATTTTGTGATGGGGGGGGGGGGGGATTTTGTCATTATATAACACAATTTTATTAATATTATTTCTGTTTTCCTGTTAACATTCCAAATGTCTATTTAGTTTTGATTTGGTGGTATTAATTTAATTTTTCCTATCATTTTATGAATAAATAATAATTTAACAAAAATAATTATTGTTACTTCATTTATCAAACTTTACAGGTTAAACAGAGCAAAAGGAGTTTTGCTGAATGGGAAAGGTTGCTATACTGGATAAGAATTGGGGGAAAATACAACACAAGTTTTTGTTGATGGTATACACAAGTTTGTATGAAACCACACAAGTTTCAGAAATTTCAACATAAGTTTCAGAAATTTCAACACAAGTTTTGTGTAGATTTTCACACAAGTTTGTGTTTTTTGACAAATTTTAACACAAGTTTTGTGTTGTTTCAACATTTAACACATAGAGACACCTAACTTGTGGTGTTGTGTAGGTCGTTATAAGTTCTTGTTTTAATTTTCGGGACTTGTTCAACTCCTAATCCTTCAACCAAGTGTCAATGTATGGTATGCCATGGCTCAGATATACGTCATGTGCCACAGAACCAAACATTCCCCCCCCCCTGAAGTATCTTAAATTTGGTCTACCTACCCGCCTTCGGAGGAGGCTCCAGCACCACTGGCAAGGGAAACTTTCTCTGCCAACGCAGGGATCGAACACGTAACCTCCAGGTTAGCGAGTCAACGTCTTACTCACTTGAAGCACTGTGTCTCCCATGAAGGAAAACTATTTTAATGGTGTGTTGGTCAGTTTATGACAAGAAAGTCAAACATATCCTGGCGCAGACCCCGCCCCAACCCCTATCATCTCGAAATAAGTGCCCAGAGTTTGCTCTGCCTACACTATACTTGGGAGGTCCTAGTACGTCACCGGAGGAATGTGATTTTGCTAACTTGAAATAATGTGCACCCCCCCCCCCCCATTCATACGTTGCTCCCCATAACCTCCACCCACCCCCTTGGCTCAGATGCCTATGCATACAAAATAATATAAATTGTCATAAAGTTTGGGGAATGTGATTTGATAACTTGAAATAATTTACCCCCCATTCATACGTTGACCTTTGATCTCTTTAATTCACAAATAGAATTGAGTCATCGTGTCGTAAAAATCACCAACACAAGACGCAATTCTCTGGGAATTTATTATTTTACCGTGAACAAGCATTTCCCCGAGAATCGTAATAGTATGATTAAGCGTGGTTTAAACACCGAGAGCAAGACACTAATAGCTATTTATCACCCAATAATACATTCTACAGTAGTTATCGCTTGTGTGATAAATTTCATATCCTTAGGAGATATCGCTTTACATGACTTTGATTGGTCAGTTCCTTGGTCAATTAAAAAGGAACTACTTCTTTGTATTTTCAAAGAACAGTTCATTTTATATAAAAAGCATTTCTTTTTTTTTTATTAAAAATGAATTATTTTTATTTAATTGACTTTGATGGAAACACTGGATCAATATAAAAGACTTTGCAATGATTGAATTGCTGCCAAAAAATGATGTATCACTACGCCGTAATGTAATCAGGTTCAGTAAAAGTGAAGTCTATAGCAAAGAATTATATTTATTTATTTGTGCACGTAAGAAAGGATTGGGTGATAAATAAAATCTCCTACTCGTCATTTTTGATATAAAAAAATATCAACACTCGTTGATAAAGTAAAAAAAAAAAATCGGCAGAGCCTCGTTTTTATACGCCCACATGTTCATGTGGACGTACATTGTCGTCGCCCCTGTCCATCCGTCCACAATTGTTTGTGAACAGACTACAGGTCACAATTTTTATCCGATTTCAATGAAACTTGAAATATAGGTTTATCACCATAAGATCTCGGTTCCTGTCGATATTGGCATGTATCGGACTGTAACTTCATGGATTATGGCCCCTGATTGTACGAAAAATCACGTTTTAGCTTGTGAACACTGTAGAGGTCACACTTTTTATCCGATTTAGTTTAAACTTGAAATGTATGATTATAACCCACAGATCTCGGTTTCTTTCGATATTCGTGCATATCGGAACGTAACTTCCTGAATTATGGCCCCCGATTGTACGAAAAATCGCGTTTTTAGCTTGTGGGCCATATAGAGGTCATAATTTTTATCCGATTTAAAAAAAAAACCTATTATTATATCACCGTTAAACCCTAAGGACGGCTGAGTTCGAATTTCGTGAAAATGGCCGCCGTTCGTTCTCAAATAGCGTAAAAATATGGTATATCAAGGTTGTGGACCCTATAGAGGTCACAATTTTCATCCGATTTTGTTGAAACTTGAAATATAAGTTTACTAGCAGGATACCCGGCTTCGCTCGGGGGTCATAACTCCGAAACCGGAAGTGGTAGACTAACGCCACCTGGCCTATGTTACTCCCCGGTCCGGGCTACCCCTATACCCCAAATTTCAGACTCGGGGCAGACCTAGTGTAGCCGCCAACCCCGAACATAACTCCGAAACCGGAAGTGGTAGACTAACGCCACCTGGCCTATGTTACTCCCCGGTCCGGGCTACCCCTATACCCCAAATTTCAGACTCGGGGCAGACCTAGTGTAGCCGCCAACCCCGAACAGACCGGCTTCGCTCGGGGGTCATAACTCCGAAACTGGAAGTGGTAGACTAACGCCACCTGGCCTATGTTACTCCCCGGTCCGAGCTACCCCTATACCCCAAAGTTCAGACCCGGGGCAGACCTAGTGTAGCCGCTAACCCCGAACAGACAGATACCCGGCTTCGCTCGGGGGTCATAACTCCGAAACCGGAAGTGGTAGACTAACGCCATCTGGCCTATGTTACTCCCCGGTCCGAGCTACCCCTATACCCCAAATTTCAGACTCGGGGCAGACCTAGTGTAGCCGCCAACCCCGAACAGACCGGCTTCGCTCGGGGGTCATAACTCCGAAACCGGAAGTGGTAGACTAACGCCACCTGGCCTATGTTACTCCCCGGTCCGAGCTACCCCTTTACCCCAAATTTCAGACTCGGGGCAGACCTAGTGTAGCCGCCAACCCCGAACAGACAGACAGACAGACAAACGACAGTCACAAATATATATATATAGATAACCCAAAGATCTCGGTTCCTTTCGATGTTCGCGCATATCGGACCGTAACTTCCAGAATTATGGCCCCTGATTGTACGAAAAATCACTTTCTTTTTAGCTTGTTCTCTATCCATCTCTCGAAAATGTGGGCGTATCCTGCCTGGCAGCCGCTGGTTTGTTAGTTTATCAACTTGTGTTGTTATTTGTTGATATCAAAAAAGACTCGTAATAGATTCTCTATATAGCTATATTATTTGGAAGTTTAACAGCAGATATTAATGTAACTTGATTGATTTATATTCAATTTTTATAAAAATAAAAAAACAAAATCTTGCCATTTCGAATTAATTATTTTCGGTGAAATACTTGAACAGTCCAAATTGAACGACAGTCATTTACTGCTGCTTCATTCCATTCTTCGCGTTTTTATATCTGTCGTTTGTGAATCATCAGCTATTATTTGAACAAAAGGTTGCCACATGTTGCTCCATATGCGGTAGAAAGCGTTCATCCAACGATAATTTGGGGGAATGCTCACTATTCCGCGGGTGCACTAGTCAGCGGGTTCATTAGTCCACCAATATCTATTATTAGGGCTAGGGTTGGGTTAGGTTTATTGATACCCACATGGCTCTGCATTAAATCTTTTAGAGAGCTATCTTGTGGGTAGAAAACAGTGTATTTTAGTTAATTGCAAATCGTCGTCTGAATCTGTTTTGTCATCTGGGGTTCCCCAAGGTTCTGTTCTTAGTCCGATTTTATTTACCCTCTATACGTCACCATTAGGAGATATTGTCAGAAAATATGGTCTCAGCTTTCATTTGTATGCCGATGATACTCAATTATATATTTCATTTACACCTAATTGTCCATCTTCTTTCAATTTATCAAAATTGCAACTTGAGAACTGTATTAGTGAAATTAGAAAATGGATGTCAAAGAACTTTCTAAAATTGAATGATGATAAAACCGAATATTTGTTATTAGGCTCAAGGCATCAATTAAGTAAATCTGCACAAGATAAACCCCCTGTTGTAATTGGTAATTGTGATATATTTTCATCTTATTCTGCTCGTAATATTGGCGCCATCTTTGATAGTTTTATGCTTATGGGAGCTCAAGTAAATAATATTTCTAAATTGTGCTATTTTAATATTAGAAATATAGGTAAAATACGTAAATGTGTAACTGTAGAGGCCACTAAGTCACTTGTTAATTCTCTGGTCACTTCTCGATTAGATAACTTTAATTCACTTTTAGTTGGTTTACCTTTAAAGCTTATAGATAAATTACAAAAAGTACAGAATACTGCGGCTAGACTTGTTACTTTAACTAAGAAATGTGACCACATAACTCCTGTTTTATATAATTTACACTGGTTACCTGTTAAATATCGAATTGATTTTAAGATTTTATTACTTACTTTTAAATGTTTAAATAATTTAGCTCCTGTTTACCTCTCAGATCTTTTAGAACTTTATACACCTGGTCGAACATTACGTACATCAGATAACTACTTTTAAAGCCCAAAACTGTTCAACTAGTCTCCTATGGTCAGCGCTCTTTTAGTTATCAAGCACCTGTTTTATGCAATAATCTACCATTTAGTTTAAGATGTTGTACATCTCTGTATTCTTTTAAAAAACAACTTAAAACACATTTATTTAATCAGGCTTTTAACTGACTCTGTATACAATCGTTAACATGCCCATAATCTTGTTGTTTATGTGTGATTTACATTGTCACTTTGTAAAGTGCCCCTGAACATGTTATATGAAAGGGTGCACTATAAATATGCTGTAATAATAATAATAATATAGTATTTGTAATAGCAGCGGACTGGTGACCCCGCGGACTAGTGAACCCCTCTCATAATTTTGGAAAAGGTTAGAGCCGGTCTAAAAGACGAGAATTAACATTAAAGTCAATGGGGTAATCATTAGTGATCTGTGGCCAAAAGAGATATGTCAGGTTGTATGCACATTATGGAATGCTGTGTACTTTTAATGAAAAGAAATATTCATGTCACTGATGGATATATACAGTTCTATATTACTAAATACACTATGGAATTGATAAGCTCTGTTAGGTCGTTGAGTAAACCTTGTTGATTCCAATTTGATGTCTGTTTGAACTTCGTTGGTTATAGCGTCCCTGGTTACGTCGTCCATTGTTGTTTTTGACAACTCGAGTAAGGCTAGTCTCGGTCACCCAGAACCTCCTAGTCTTCAACATCGTAGAATATTTTTCTGGATGATAGAGACTAGAGTAAGGCTAGAAGAATGAACTACTTTATCACGTGACGAAGATTACTTGTCAGTGATTTATACTCATCACTCGGCAAACCTCAGCAGATTCCATACCCTACCTCTAGCCTCGGCTGTATGACCATAGACCTTATTGTACTTTCAAGTTCCCGGATTACCAACGGCATTGCCCATGAATACGCCTTTGAATAAAGAATGTTTTATCAATATCATACAAATATTTCAAACGAACGACATAATTTTGATTACTTCTTTTTAATAGCGGCAAGTTTTCCTAATAAGTAAACCAGTGTCGCATCGCCATTGAATAGGCGTAGGTGCATATCACTTACCGTCACACAGCCGAGGGTAGATGTAGAATAACCGAATCTTCCGAGTGTTCAACACATAAAACAAT